ATGCACCATTCTGCTGCTCCAGGTAGCGCACCTTCTCGATGAAGCTGGCAAAGCGGTCGTTGAGATCCTGCAGCTCAGCCTTCTCGTTGCTGCGGGTGGTTAGGAACTCCTGGTTGATGGCTTCAGCTAGGGTGAAGTCCACCTTGTCATAGGAGAGGCGAGGAGCCTGGGCGCTGGGGCGGGAACGCTGTTGGTGGTAGGTGGTGGAGCGGGACATCACCGCTGGTGACGCTGATCGCATATACCGCACCCCAGAAACGGGCATACGGGAGGACACAGGGGAGTAAGAAGACATGGAGATGGGGTGAGGGCTTCCAAAGGTGCGCCTGTAGGAAGTGGAGGTATGCATTGAAGAGTGGCTCATGGTTGGTTTTATTCTGTTCTCTGTCGCTGTGGAAATATAGAGAGCTGGAGGCTTGGAGATGCTCGTGAGGCAACAGGACATCAGACTGAGGAGTGCTGGGGGTTTTATACACACAAGCTGGCTATCCCATCATCCTCTCGCCTCCCCCTAGCTCGTTTCTCCTCACCCCACCCACATGAACCCTTCCTTTCTCAATCACTCATCAGCATACAAGCTTTGGCCACTCCCTACCCTTCAGACACAGACCCTGCCTCTCTCTGTGCTTTCACCGGCTCTCTCTCCAACTCTCTGTCTCGACTGTTCCACCCTTTTAACCAGAGCACTTGGCAGGAAGCCAAACTGGCCTCCTCATTACTGCTCTGATTTCTAAGATGTCTCCTCACGCCCACCCCTCCTTATCTTGATTAATACCCTCATTGTCACTTTGCACTGGTTCTTACTCACTTTGGATTGTTGGTTCTCCATATCATTCGTACGTGTATGATTTCACTTTTACTTGCACGTGTAATATTCCTAACTTTACTAAGTTAAAAGTGAGTCCCAATGATTCTGTTACCTGGTTGTCAATAAGAAACTGTGAAATTGTGGCCTAAATTGAATCACATGGATACATTGATCTGATTCCCCCCCTTTATGTCTCTCTGTCTCTTTCTCCTTTTACAGTAATGGAATACTTTATTGATATTCTGGGCGTTGAGGGCAGAGCCATGACTCTGCAATTATTTTGCCCTTTGGAAATGCACTAGATCCAGTAATCCCTGTTAGAGTTGTCAAATAACTCTGTCTGTATTTCTGGTGAACATCGGATTTTTGACAAAGTTATATAGAGTCTGAATCAGACATAAAGAATAGTGACTGTTGTCTATGAAGATTCTCAGTCATCCAGGTCATAGTTATCCAACGAGGGTTAAAATGAAGGAAGGATACTGAAGGACTTCTTCAGTTCTGAACTGAAGAAGTCCTTTGGATAAGGGACGAAACGTCTTCCAGTATCTTCAACCAAGTCCAGTTGCCCTTCATTTTAACCCTCGTTGAATAGTGACTGTTGTTTTAGCAGGTCCAGTGACTTACCGAGCACAAATAATGAGCAGTTTAGGAAGACATTATCAAAATGTTTCATTGCTCTGAGTATAAAATAACTTTGAAAACAATCATAGCTGTTGCAATAAAGTCGATGCTTGATAGTGATGCTCTTTTAGCTAGTCAGTCTTCATATCAAACTCACAACTTTATAGCACCTGTAACTCAGAAAAAAGTGTAATTTGGTCTTAAGATATAAGAGCTTGTTATAATATATCGCTCATATGTGAGACATTGTGTGCATGTGTCTGTGTGTGTGTGTGTGTGTGTATATAGTAATTTTGAGGTCTGCAAACAGGCTACCAATCTCATCTAAAGCTGACGTAATTCTGAGCATGCTCTGTAGTGAATAGGTGTGGCACTTTCTTCCCTTTGTGTCCCCCATGCTGATTGGTACCTTTCATGGTGTCCACTTATGCTCTCTCATATCTAACACACAACCCAATATAACATTTTGTTTCATATATGTTTAAAACAAATTTATTAACCTAACTTATTTTAACCTATACTCAGCAATTTTTCTGATTCACTTTCCTGTTTCCTGTTCCTAATGGAGCATCTGGAGCACACTAGTATCGTTATCTCTTTTTCTTCTTTTCTTCTTTGTCATTCACAAACTTACACACGTTTCCTCTTCCCTCTTTGTATGTCTGCATGGCTGCTTTTTCCGAGGCCTGGTCTTCTGTGTAATAAATGGCCCATGTTAGTCTTGGCTCTGTAATTTAATCAACCTGCTTTATGGTCAGTAAGTCTCTCCTCTCTCTCCCGCCCCCTCTATCTCACCCTCTGTCTCAATCTCTATCCTCAGAGCACATTTCACTTTCAATTATTTCACTAGATCCTGCTTCAATCTGCCCATATGTCCAACTGTCTTATCAGTGTAAAGACGATATCTTCATTTCTACACTTTAATTAACAGCATGTATGGCAGACACACACACACACACACACACACACACTTACTCATCACACATGCATAAAACATGCAGCTCAATTTTTAACTGGACTGCATAAGTAATGCTAGTAATGCTAACCATCACCCATTAGAAATTGATCCTCCTGGTTCTCTGAGAACTCCCAAAGGGGCCTCTAATTCAATAATGCTTCTTTGACAGTCTAGAATATCTGTTCCCATTTTCACATATTGAACTCACAGCATGCGTGTCATGTTTCAAAACTAAATAATAGCGAATATAGGGAAAAATATTGTGTTATAAATTTAAAAAACAATTACTGGTCGAGGTCTGGTCTCTGATAAGAAATCTAATCAAACTTAACAGCAGTCAGCAGTGACAAAAGCATAGAGCATTGCTGCGTAGAAAACTGAGTTTCGTTTATGTTATTCACTGTAGCCTTTTAACATTTAAAGCCCCTATGTGTAAGATCTTGCCAACTCATAATGGTAGTATACCATATATATATATAAATCTATATATGTAGTATATGTAAAATATAGAAGAACAATTTCAGTCAGAACACTGCGTTCTGGCAAGAACCGGTTATTATACTGGATATGCTAATTACGGGCCGCAGTGAGACTTATCACTTAATCCTTCACTGTGGTAGGTTTCTGCAGTGTAAAGGACAGATGAAGGAAACAGTATCCTTTTTAAGATCAGTTGTTAGGGAGTGGTGAGCAATAATGTGTAAGTGAATCAGAGCTGTGTAGCTGCTTGAGTGGTGTCACCCTACCGACTCATCTCCAGGTTCACTGTTTAGAGAGGACTCATAGAAAAGTCTGGTCTGGTTATCTGGAAAGGAGATGCCAATACCTAGAGCTTAGTGACAGTCCAGACAGTTTGACTGGGACAAGTGGTGAGGATGCTGTGACCTATTAAAAGCTGCAGGCCTGGTAAGATCTGGGAGGGCTGTCAGGTCCAAGATAGAAATCATCTGTGAAAAATGATGGCCTTCAAGCAAAGCTAAGGGGTTTTGTCTTGGCTGCAGTGCACGTCCGGAGGTGAACAGAGATGGCTGAACAACACTTGGAACATGTGACCAAGAGACATGTTAAGGATGATTAACGGCTGTGTTTGGTAATTACTGTAATAGAGTACTGCAGTGTTACACATGTCTGTTGGAAGGATATTCATTTGGAATATTTGTGTATGTAAGTAAAAAGAGAGACAGAAAGAGGATATTGTGGAGTAGTGCATGCATGGGTGAAATCAATACAAATTGCCTCCTGATATCCCAAAATGTTTTGTTGAGAAAGGTATGTTTTTATCTCATATTTTACTGCCCAGAGATTTAGATGACTACCCACACTACAATATTACAATAGATTGAATTTAAAAGTCAGTAAAATTACATGATGCAACAGCCTTCACAAAAACAACTTTCACTTTGAGCTATACTTTGATTCATAAATGCAAACCATGTAATCAAGAGCCATCTTTTCCTCAACTTCCATTCCACATCTTTGTTTCTACTGTGTAGGCCGAGCCATAGCTTCTTCCAATAAAGATTTTGCTGCAGTGACGTCAGACCTTTCCCCCGCACTGCAGTATGTCATATGTAGTACATGTTACAATAAGCTTTTTTTCTCAGCTCAGTGCATTAAGGTAGCTGGCAACATCTTAATAAATCGTTTTAATTAAGCAGAGAGCAGAACGCGATGGCAGTATTTTTTTTTTTAGCATACTCAGTTGTAGTGTTCCTATAACCATCATTTCGGACAGCGTACAGTATGTGAAATGTTCATGAAATGCCTGTATGTATTTTTATAAAATTGTGTATTCAGTACAAGCAAGGCATTTTTTAATTGTTTTTAGAATATTATACTTTGCGTAATGTGTAGGACAGAATTATTTAGTGTTATGTGTTGGTGTCTTGTCTAAATGTTCTCTTTCTACTAATTAATCCTCTATGTGACTCAATGTAAATTGCCATGTCACTGTTCTGTTTATTTGTGCTTTTCTTTGACAGCCATAATTAAGCGGTTACAAGCACTGGTGGCATGTTAGCAAACAGTTATCTATTTACACATCCAGCAGATAGGGAGAAAACACTGGAATTCATTGGGAGTTATATATATTAACGGCCACCTGATCCAATATTCTCTCAACTTTCAGCTCAGTTTTGGTCTCCCCCAACTTGTCTGTGGAAGAAGTGCTGTTGGTACAGTTAGTATCAGAGCTTTATTGTTGCTAAAAGGCTAAAACACTGATGGGAACTGGAGTCAGATGATATTATCTCATAACTACAAGTGAATCCTTTATTAAATGCAGAAATATAGCATACACTACAACACTCATTTGATCATTAATATAAAATTATTTATTAGAGCTTTAACAACAACAACAAAAGAAAATATCATATATGAATATAATTCCAAGATTTTGTACTACTGTATTGATTAATCAATTTCTAATTGTTCCTGCCACAGTGCTTCATTGACCTTATGATTTAATAAATTTACCAAACGTCGCTGGTGATGATATTAAGATTGAAAATAATTGCTACTTTCATCTGCTCTTTTAACGGTTCAGGAAGTAAAATCACATAATGATAACATGCAAATGAAAAAGTAATAAATGGGGAAGCAAACACATGATGGAGATAAAGTTTCATTTTATTTATTTCAGGGTAGCAAACAGAATAACGTTTTATGATGCAAGTGATGTAAAATACATTATTAAGAAATTTAACTGAAATGTGTTAACATTGATTTTGCAATGGGTAAGTATAAGTAGGCCACAATAACATAGTAAGGTATGGCGTCTATAAACTATTGGTGCCAATTAAAAAGAAATACTGGCAAAATATGATGATATTCACACAGTCCTCCCCTGAAGCAGTGGACGACTCTCTCCTGGTGACTCTCGGCTCAACAAGTTCCACAACAACAAAGGCATTGATGTTACCGCCGAGCTGCCTCCAAAGTTGTCTTCTCTTAGTGGCTGGTACTGCTTGGACCGTCTGTTTAGAAACATAAAACAGTTGGAACAGATGAGGAGATCCCACTAACAACAAACTAAATCATAAAAAAAGTAAACAAGAAATGAAAACTGTAAACATAATGAAAAATTTAATTTAATTAATTTAATCAGTGCTAATTTTATTGGGTGAAATGGTTGTTTTTGCTTCCCTATTTTGTCTTTGTCTTAACATGACATATGATCATGAATAACATGACATATTATCTGGACATTGTGGATGGTAAGTCATTTTTTGGTCAATACCAAGGTTGGCAATGTACAATGCTATCTGCGTGGCTATGTGGATGGCAATGTTGGTCTGTCGGTCAGTCCGTTCTCCGACTGAAATATATAAACTAGTTGATGGATTGTTATAAACTTCTGTACAGGCATTCATGGTTCCCAGAGGATGGATCTTACTGACTTTGATGATCCCCTGATTTTTCTTCTAGCACCACCAGAAAGTTGACATTTGTGGTTTTGAGGGAATTTCCTCAACAAGTATTGGGTGGATTCCCATGAAATATGATAAAATACTTTTTGAGTGAAAAATTAATATAAGGCAGGACTTTGGTTCAGTGCTTGTTAGTAAATGTTAGCATGCTAACGTGCTAAACTAAGATGGTGAACATGGTGAATATAACCTGTTAAACGTCAGCATGTTGACCCTGTCATTGTTAGCATGTTAGCATGCTGATGTTCGCTCAATCAGATCGATCAGACACAGGGATCAATCCCTGGCCACCTACACTTCCTAATACTGTATATGTAAATTATATGCTTCCGATGCTGCAGTTTTGCTGGTAAATTGAAAATATGATTGCTAATGTGCATTCTGGCTTGCTGACATGACGTATGACACTGAGCCATCATTGTTTCATTAAACCCCAAATTAATTAGATTGATATATTAGGAACTCACCTGTGCATCAAACCAATGCAACAGACAACACAGGCGAGAACCATAACGCCCACGACTGTGGCTGCAGTTCCAGCTGAGGAACCACCAGAGGCTGAAATTGAAGCACATTATACTAATGAGAGAATTATCTAGAGGTACTTTAGTGGCTATTAATACATTTTTCTTTCACCCACCTGCTGCTACACTGACTCTGGCACTTGCCACAGCTAGACTGACATCATTGGTCAACGAGACATTGATGCAAAATACTCCGGTGTCATTGAAGACCTGACGAACGATCATCTGACAGTCTGGAGAGGGTGTGGCTGCATTACAGATGGTCTCCACCGGTGTGATACAGTCAGCATCAGAAATGGTTGTGCAGACCACACTTGGCAGACTGAAGGAAGGATAGTGAAGGTACAGAGACATAGTTACAAGGAGAGCAATCCTAAATGGATATGTTATTTTCACAAATGTGTTTCAGTGTAGGCTAACTAGAAGATCATTTTTGTATTAGTTATAAAGAACGTCAAGACAAATCAATACACTTGAGCTGAACAGTAAGTGAACCTCTTGATCCTCTCTGTGTGCTCTATACATTGAGTTGGAGCCACTTTATTTCCATGTTGGAGACTGTGAACATGCAGGTGCTTACATTACTGCGTTTGTTTTTATGAATCTGTGTGTGTGTCAGTAGGTTGACGATATATTAGAGTTCTGTAGCCTAATTGTAGACTGATATAAATTAACAAACTTTCAACTAGCTTGTGTAATTGATGAATGTCACTGCTCACCTTCCCTGACAGTCAATGGTGATGTCCACAACATTTTGATCCAACTCAGTCGCCACTGATACAACGTTGGACACCTCAACAATCTCTACACTTTCAATACCCTCTGGAGCGTTAAAAGAGGTAGAAAAAAGTTAAATTATAAATTTATTATTATTATTAAATCATACTGTTTCTACTAAAGCATAAAATGATCTGTTTAGGTTTAAGGCCATAACTACAAAAACTATATTGACTTACGGACAACATCTACAGTGGTGGTGAGGGAGCCATTGCGGAAGATCATGCAGTCAGCCATCAGCTCTGGAGCTTGTCTTTTAACCAGAACAAGGGCAACCTGTGCTGGATCTGCTTCCACCTCTGCTTGAACAGCTACTTCATCACCCGCTGGTTGCACTGGAAAAATAAGAGACAATTTGTCATAATGCTTTTGTTAAAAGAGCTTGATTTTTTATTTTGTGTTGTTTTAATTTACATTAAGTACTCACTTGCAGGAGCTGCAACCTCATTTTCAATTGCCTGTACTGCGGCATCAGCTGGTGCTGCATCTTCTATTGATGTGGTTTCAGTGGCAGCAGGGGCTACGACATTATCAACAGGGGCTTCTGTTACAGCTTCAATAACCTCTATGGCCGCAGCAGCATCAACAGTATCAGGAGCCACAACATCAGCTTGTTGCTCTACAGCTACTTCTGCTACAGGAGCAGCAGTGACAGCATCAGCGACCCCAACTACTGCTTCTTCTCCCTCTGCAACAGAGGCAACAGCGTTGGCGGGATCTTGTTCCTCTGGAACAACAGCTGCATCAATTCCTGCGGGTGCTACTGAGGCAACCTCTACTACCTCTGTGTCTGCATCAACAACCGCTTCTCCATCTTCTGTGGCTGCTTCAGCTGGCTGCACAGAAGCAGCAAGTGGAGTGGCATCAGCAACATCCAGAGCAATTGCATCTCCTCCCTCGTCTGGTGCTGCTGGGACAGTTGCAGGGGTGGAGGCCATCACATCAACTGCTGGCGCAGCTACTACATCAGTAGGAACAAAACTTAGTTCAGACAACTTATAGGACAGTACATATGTATTTAACATAAACATAAAATATAATTAGTTTAAAATCTCACCAGCAGTGGGGTTTCCACAGCTGTTGGGAATGCTTGCCATGAGAACCACCTGAGGTGTGAAGTTCCCGACTGCGAGGTATGTGTGTGTGACAGTGAGGTCTTTGGATATCAGAATATCAGTGCTGTCACCAAAGTCCCAGCTGACGCTGATGTTGGCGCTGTTGAGATACTGGCTGGGATCATGGAGATTGATGCTGAAAGTAATAGCTTGGTTCTGGATGAAGTTCTGGTCGTCCTGGTTGACATCAGTTACTTGAGCGAGTGATATGGTGAATGGAATCTGGTCTGATGACGAAGCATAACATGTAGAGCTGTTATGATGAGTGTTTTTAAAAAAAATACAAACATTGTAGAATCCTTTTCCTCAAGTTAGGTTAGAAATTGTTTGGTAGGTCACCTGTGATGCTGAAGACTGTGGAGGCATAGCCGAGAGGGATGAACTTGTCTTTTCCACGGTAGTGATAGATGACAACCTCCATGTTGTAGGAGCCCAGGGGGATGTTGTCTGTACCGATAGAGAGGGAGGAGGATGGTCCATCTGCCACCTGCCAGTAACGCCCTTGAATAGAGCAACATTTTGATTATTTAGGATGGTTTGGTAATCAAGGTGTCACTTTCATTATATAATACATGAGATACTATTGTAATGGTGGTAAAGTAAAACAAAGGCCTGCATTTGATTCACTGTGAAGCAAAACAGAATAAAGTGTACTTTTTGTTTTCAGAATTGTTCTGAGGAACAGACTTTTAGTAAAAAAAGCCAAAAACGTCTGCAAACGTTGTGACCTTTAGTACAGGTGAGGGTTTTCCACACTGCATAATTAGCCCAAGAGTTGACCCTGTGATGACAGCCCCTTCTCACATACACATTGTTAACTGAAGCTATAGGACTCATGCTGCCCAACTACTTGGACTGGTAAAAATATCATTTAAAAAACAAGACTAATGTTTACATTTTTGTGTACTTTAGCCCCGAAATAACAGCTCCCTTAGCCTGGGGCTAAGTGCAGTGTGAAAAGTTCTGCTGGCTTCTTCTTTGCTGGTTAGGTGATCAGCTATTGTCACAACAGCATGTTCACTTGAATATTGTTAGACTTCATGAGTCGTTTACCAAAGCAAGTACGCCTGATGAACTAAAAACGGTAAACTAACACCACTAATTTAATCCACATAATACAAATTATTCACAGTGCAAGTTAACAACAACATCATTTTCTTGAGTTAACAGCACAATTTAAGAAGGTCTTCAGGTGTAAAAGTGATTTTTTTCATGACAAATATAAAATGTAACAGCAGATCATTTTTAGCGTAGACAAGTTTTTCACTAAAAAGGTTGTGTTTGTGATACGGCCTGAGGCAAATGTTAAACTTTAACTTCACTGGCTGGAGGAGAAACTTCCCTTTTATTCTCTTACAGAGTTTTAATGGTCTTTGTCTCTATGGAGGTTTGACATGTTAATGTAATGTAGTCAAAGCTGCAGTTGGTCCTTTTTCTCATCATTGAGGGTTGTCTGTAACATTGTAACTGTGAGTTGTTTTTTGTGCTCACAAGGAATTACCTAAACTGAAGCACAATGTTACTACTGCAGCATTAATTACAACTAATGAGCAGCCTATATTTAGCAGACTATTTATTACTAAATTAAATATATTTACCCCATGTCTTCCACACAAACACGTAGTGGGGTCTCCTGTTCTGACTGATGGGGAACGGTGTGCCGTCAGGGAAAACTCCGGTCTGCTCGGTGTCCTGGTCAGGATACACAGCCTGACCCTCCTGATACTGCTGTCCTGAAAAAGACGATGACCATGGACCAACATCAATAACAACAGATACATGGTATTTTAGATCAATATGAGGCAACACAGGTGAAATAAAATAAGAATAACTTGTCTTTTGTCCTATAATAATGAAACATCATAAAACATTGTCAGTTAATCAGTAATTAACAAAATTATCATTTCTACCACAAACAAAGTGTCTGTAAGTTATTTATTTCTTTAGGAAACACCATCTCAAAAAATGTGACATGGTGTTGAGATGAAGATCATGTTGCCGTCACATCTGAAATAAACTGATCAGCTTCCTGTTCATAATTGTTTGTTACTTCTTTTGAGCATGAATGAAATATCAAAAATAATGACATCACACTAGGCTACATAGTAACCTGCGGTACGTGCCCTCTGCAGAGTCACTTGCTGTTTCTGGAAAGGTTGTCTTACCGTTGATTGTGGTGTTTTCCGCCCAGACCACCTGCCCGTCAGAGAGCACTCTCTGGCTTGGTGGGAAATTAAGATTAATAGAGAAGGTCACTCTTGCTCCAGCCAGAGTGGGTGCATCATTTTTGAGATCGAAAGTTACTTCACCACCTGGAAAGAAGAACATCTTTAGATTAAATGGCAGAGAAAATCTTTTGATAGCATTTCTGTTTTTAGAAATAGAGGAATGAGCCTCACCAAGCCAAGAGTTCCTGAATCTCCGGTCTCCATCTCTCCACACCGGATACATTTTTGAGTTCCATGAGCGGTAACTTGCGAACTTACTTCTCGGCTCTGGAAAAGATAGTATTACAAACTCTTCAGGAAAAGAAGCCCCATCATGCAACATCATGTTATTCTCCCAAGTATCATCATCAACCAACACAATCGATAAGAAATAATCCAAAGAATCCAAAGAATTTCAAGTGAGGCAACATTTGCAAAGCATGTTAAGATTTTTAGAAAGCTATTTTATCTTTACAATCTATTCCTTAACTGCAAAACTATGTTTCAGTTTTTCAGTTTTTTTGTCGGTTAGTTAATATGATATTTATATTTTTGTTGGTGAGAGATATTGGTTATACCATTAACTACATATTTAAGTAGAGTTGCTTTTTAAAAGGGGCACAACTTTTCCATGATAATCATGCAGGTTTTGAACATAATGATAGAAATGTTGATGTTTTCACACTATTATCAGCTGTTATCAGCAAAATACCTTCAAAATCACATAAAAATGTTTTGAAAGTCAAAATTGGTAATAATTGTCATAATGCTGGTGGTTTAGCATTTTGGCAGCCCTGAGTAATGGTTATTACACACAAACTACCGCAGGTTTTTTCTTTAGTGTCTTTAGCTTTAGTGTTAAAATATGGTATTTATTACCAATTTTGACTTCCAAGACTTTTCATGTGATTTTGAAGGTATGATGCTGATAGTAATCTTTAATATTATTAAAACATAAAGGGACCTATTTATGTCATTGCTATCTTCAAATGTGTTTCCCCATTGTAAACCTTTGTTTTTGGCCCCTCCTTACGCTGTTACATATATTAATAAATATTACCCAGCTATAACCATTATCAGTACCAAGCTATTTGCTGTTTATTACTTTGGTATTACTTAATGTTTATTATTTTCACATTTACAAGTTTTAAAAGAAAAGATAATGAATTACAGTACAGTATTCTGAGTTATAACACACGCCTTGAAAAATATTTTTGCCTATACTCACGAATGTAAATTGGCATAAAACATATTGTATTCGTGTAAAATTGGCATCATTGACTCATTTTCTCTCTCTTTAACAGAGTGCAGAGTAGAAATTAAAATGAATCACTTTCACTGTTGCTAAACTGTGTTGGTATAAAGGTCTTACATCAAACACAAAAGCTTCATCTTAACAAATTATTTAGACACAGCCTTAGCATTTAAACTTTGTTTTTTTAAAACTAAAGGGGAGAATAGTGTATTTCCACTTTATCCCTTTGCAGTTTCTCTTGTTTTTAAATCTTTTGTGTAAAATGAAATAGAAAACAAACTCAATGTAGATGCACAGTGACAAAAAGTCTTTCAAACAAGTTGTTTTCTAGTGGATTACATGTACATTGAAAAATTATTTCACTTTTTTGATAGCAGGGCTGATGATTACTTATTAAACTATATATTTAGTCTTAGAAAGAAAAAAAGTATGTTATGGTCTTGTCAGGAAATTGACCTGATTCAGATGTACTCACTTGTCGCAGTGGCAGATATAAATGCCAACACCAGCAGCACCAGGTTCAGAGTCGTCATCCTGGATTTGGTTGTGTGTCTCTTCTCTCTGAACCCTGATCCACACCCAGCAGTCCTGAACCCCAACACAACTCCCAGACAGACTTAGCAAACGTCTCGTCAGTCTCTTTAAGAAAGCCTCAGACCTGAATTACCATAAAGTTTCTTCTCACCTCTGACATCATTGGGAGTCTACAAACTGGCACCGCCCCCTCTGTTCAACTGTAAGAACAGATATGAGTACTGTTTTCGTAATTATTGTTGTCTTTTCCAAGAACTGTTTTGATATTATTATTAAACTTTATATTCTCACCTGAGCTAACAATGTTTTTACTTGTGAACCACAAATTAAAAAATAAACTTTTTCTGATTTCCTGATATAGATGCAATATCTCCAATGAAGCACTCAGGAGTGTGTACAGTAACCTAAAATGGAGAAAAGGCTGCAAAAGATGGATAAAGTGAATGTTAATTATTCAAATGAACACAAAGTAACAAACAGGCATGAAGCAGGATAATATTGTGCATTATTGGAAAATCAGTGGATGTTTTCTTCCCAGTGCAAATCAAAACGCACCTGACGTGAAGTCTGGTTTAGGATGGAGAGAGTGGTGAGATCTGTGATCAAAGCTCCAGTCATGCCTGTTCTTGACATTAAAGCTACTTATGCATGGTTGTCACAAGATGAGTGTGTGCATGGCAAATCAATAGCATCCTTTTGTTTACTCAGTCATTCCTCGGTATACTGATGTCCGCCTCAGGCTGCTGCAGCTCTAAGAATCGGCTCGCATCAATGCAGAGCTCAGTTTATGAGAAACATCCTCCTTTACATCCAAAGTTTCACTCTGAGGAGGAAATGAGGTGATTGATTCTGGCAGTAATCAGAAAGTTTCACTTTATTGAACATAAATGTTCTGTATCAAGTTCCACAACTGTTATTTTCCTCTCGCTTGTTTAATCTGACTTCTCTCATGAAGTCAGAAGAAATATGAGTCACATCTAGTCTAATTAGGCACTCCACACAGCATCTTCAAGTAACACAAGGCAAATGATATTTATATATCCTGAAACAAGATAACATTGATACAGTTATTCATGTTATTCTTTTATATAGAGCTGGAAAATAGAAAAGCTACATTACATTTGTAAAGTAAAAACCAGCAGGGAGTCCACCCCTCAGTTACTTTAATAGAAAGCAATTGACTCTCAAGACAAAGTCATTATGAGCTCTGTTACCACATGGATCAGTGGTGATCTCATGCCTGTGAGTCTTCACTACATGTGACCGCTCATGTGCTAACAGCAGAGTAACAGCAGAAAAAAATCCTTCCCACAGATTCCTGGATTTATCTAATAATAAGATTGAAATATTTGACAGTTTTCTTGAGAGCAAGCCAAAGTGAAATGATTTTCCATAATACATTTTCTCTGAGTTAAATAAATATAATATAAACAAAGAAGGGAATAATCACATTTATAGCTTGTGGAACTGTCAAAATATAGCGTGTGGACTGTAAAATCTGATCATTGATTATATGTTTAGCCACATATCATTCCACCGCTGGCTGTCAATGTGATGTCCAGCACACAATGTGTGCTTTGTAGATAATTACTGGACTTTCTGGTGTAGAGCTGGTTAGATTAGGAGAGACGGCATTCATCCCATTTTGGATGGAGCAGCTCTCACATCTAGAAATCTGACCGAGTTCATTGGTGGACCAAATCCAAGACAAACCAGTTGAGTTGAGACCAGCAGGCAAAGTTGAAGTCCTACATGCTTCTCTGCGCTTATTTAGAGCAATTACCTACTCAAAACCTCAGAGTGACGGTGTCTGCCCCCCGACCACTTCAGTTAATTGAATCAAACGGAGGAGGAGCTGTGCATAAAAACCTGATAAAATCTGACAGCACTGCTGAACAAAAAAAAATATGAGAATGAAATGCAGAGTCTGTCATAAAGCTGTATTAGGAAATTATTTATTTTCAGATTATAATATTTATTTATTTGTCTTACATGGAGAATATGTTAGCCTAAATAAATCTTTTGAGACACATCATCTAAACATATAGTTAGTCTAGATGGCATCGCTCTGGCCTCCAGCTCGACTAAGGAATCTTGGAGATCAGGATATGTCCTTTAACTCCCATATAAAACAGATTTCAAGGACTGCCTTTTTTCACCTACATAACATTACACAAATCAGGCTCAAAATGATGCAGAAAAACTAGTATTGCATTCCCAGAATGCAGGGTTACTTGTGGCTCCTAGAGTCTCTAAAAGTAAGTTGGAAGCCAGAGCTATCAAGCTCCTCTCCTGTGGAACCAGGTCTCAGTTTGGGTTTGGGAGGCTGACACCATCCCCATGTTTAACAGTAGGCTTAAGATTTTCCTGGTTGATAAAATTTATAGTAAGGGCTGACTCGGGTTATCCCTGAACCATCCCTTAGTTATGCTGCTATAGGCTTAGACTGGCGGGAGACTTCCCATGATGCACTGAGCTCCTCTCTGCTCCTCTCCCTCTGCATCTGTATGCATTCTTATCACGTTAATGCATATTTACTATCTCAACTTCTTCTTTTTCTTCTGCTTTCTTGTGCCTCTCCTCTCTCCTTCTGTCGCTTTCTGCAGGTGTTTCTGCCTCCGGAGCTGTAGAATGTGGATTTGTGGTTGCAAGCCACGTACTGCCCCCATGTTCCTGCTCAGCACCCACTGCTACAATTATGATTATCATTCCAGTTTATCTATGTGCTCGATCAATAAGGTCATCTGGTTTGTGAAAACGCAAGTACAAGATCACACCATAAAGGCAAATCATTTCACGAATACAGTAACTGTAACAGTCATTTTGTCCATCCACAAGGCTTACGTTTACAAGCCTCCCTCATTTTGGCCAGAGATCCAGATTTTTAGTTTGTAATTTTGATTTCCTCATTACCACAAACACCAGCACTGACAAAAGGGGAAACAGCATACGCACACTTCTAAAAGCACAAAGTAAAACAACATGACTTTCATCAGAATACGTTTATGTTGTGGGAAATCCGATTAACAATGTCCACACAGATTATTCCAAATCTGTGAGTGACCAACACTTTTGGATGTGTACTAGTAGCCAGAAGGAGTAGTGACAGTCAGAAACAATCTCTGTAAATTAAACTAAATTACACAAAACTGTTCAAAGCAGCATCTTAGCCCATCCCTTCACAGATAAATCTGCTGGATGGATACATGTTGAGCCTCTGGGCTTTGATCATGTGCATTACTGGTATGAATGCTTCCATGTCCAGACTGGCCCAGGCAGACCAACAGAGGACACCCAATGCCTCATGACCAGTCCTGGTCCATCGTTGAGATTAATATAGGCCTTTTTCAGGTGTTAACTTATAACATTAACAATAATGTGGCCTATTGATTTAGGGAATTTCTGCTACACATTGCATTGGTGTAACAGAGCCATCATTAATGTTACAGGCTCACCCTGATGTAACAAGTCAAAATGTCTGTGAATCTTGTTGAGTTAACAAAGGATTTTTTTCAGCTTCTACAGAGGGGGATAGAAATGTGTTGGAAATTGCA